GTTCTCGACTTGCGCTCGCAAGTTTTGCACGCACTGGACCCTCTCCATCTTCTCATGGTTGAAAGCTCGGTGGTCCTCGATGCGGGCCAGCGACGTGTGGATCCCCTTCTTCCAGCGGTATATACCGAAGAGCACTTCGTTCGCCTTCTGCTTGTAGCACGCGTGCACATGGGTGGTCGACTGCATCGTGTGGCGCGCTGCCTGGAGCTTACACGTCATTGTGCCCAAGACCTGGTTGTGGTCGTCGACCCTGTAGTGGTGCTGGTCGCCGTTTTGGTTGACTGCTGGCGCTTCGGCTGATGTGGAGCCTACAGCTGCTGCCGCCGTTCCCCACGCCGTGGGGATCCGCGGGCTCGGGCGTGTCATGGCTGAGCAGTTGCTGATGTCTATCTGGGTGAGGATGGGACAGAGCTGTCGGAAGTCGTGATACCGTTCTCTGAAAGAGAGAAAATGGTTGCGGGTCGGACGGTCGGACCGTAGTGGGTGGTCTTTATTTTGGAAGGCATCACCATGGTTGGCCACGTCGATCCCCTCAGGGCGGATACTACGTAGTGGAGGCCGTTGGGAACCTTTGGGGGCAGTGGGGAGGACCGTAGTGGGACCACACACGCAGGTAATCGTAGTCGACGCTCGTGTTGTCGTCCAGCACGTAGGTATGTGTAGCCTTTAGTAGCTGTCTGCATGTTGTAGCCTGTATACCTGTTGTGGGTAGGTAAGAGGAAGGCGGTACAAATAGGTTGTGGGAGGAGAGGCGGATGTATGTGTGTGTGTGTGTGTGTTTGTGGGTCGGCATGCTGGGCCGAAGTAAGCAGGGGGAAGACGTAGTAGTATTGTTCTCCCTCCTGTGCTCCCCTACCTATTGCAGCGCAGCAATGCGCAGTATGGTTCTTGAGGCAGTGGCTAGCTTGCTGCAGCATTGAGGCCACGATGCCACCATGCTTTTGGGCCAGGGCCCGCACGTCTGCAAATTGTCTCTTCCCTGCTCTGGATAGGCACCGTTGGTGCCCCTTCTCGGCCTGGGCTTGTGCACTGGCCTGCGCTTGTGCCCCCCCTTTTGTTGGAGTTCGCCGGGCCTGGTGCGACGTGTCCGCACGGTGGCCCGAGGCCGTGACCTTTTCCAGAGCTTCGTCGCCTTGTTGCCGTATGCCTTGTTGGTATCGGTGGCCACCGTGATCGAGGACCTCGAGCAGGCCGAACTCCGCGGTGAGGTGGTACGGGTCTCGCATGGCCGCCACGTTCTGCAAGTTGAGCTTCTACATAGCATTCATGCTCTCGATGAGGTGTCTTGACATGGTCGCTCCTCCTCCACCGCCCCCCGCCAGGTGGTCCGCCTCCTCGAACAGCTCATCCTCGTTGTGCGGCCGTCTTGGTCGCCTTGGGTTGGCGTTCGTGGGCGGTCTGGCCGCCTGGCTCGCCTGGCGGCGGCCTCTCTGCTGGCTGCAGTCGCCACTCCGCCACGGGCTCCTTGTCCCTTGGCTGGGCGGACCTGCTCGGGTCCTGCGTGGTGTGAGCGCACATGGTCCTGGTACTCTTCCAAGTTTTGAGCCTGATGCTTACCGATGGGTCACGGTTGTCTGGCGTATTTACTTCGTGTGCCCATTGGGATCGGTCCTGATGGCATGTCCCATGGAAGTGTGCTGCTCTCGTCGCATGGTCCATCGCTGCTCTCCTTTCGGTAAAGGCACTGCGACACCACGGGCACTGGTTTGTGACTACTAGCAGCGCTTCAATCGGTAGTACATTTTGGAGCTCTCGGCGATGCCCAGCTCGTGCCGCGTATGTCGCGAAACGCTTCCCACATGTTGTTTTCCTTCTCTTATCGCCGATAGTAGTGTGTTCATATCAGTCTGGTGGTAGTAGTAGTAGTAGTAGTAGTAGTAGTAGTAGTAGTAGTAGTAGTAGTAGTAGTAGTAGTAGTAGTAGTCGTAGTAGTAGTAGTAGTAGTAGTAGTAGTAGTAGTAGTAGTAGTAGTAGTAGTAGTAGTAGTAGTAGTAGTAGTAGTAGTAGTAGTAGTAGTAGTAGTAGTAGTAGTAGTAGTAGTAGTAGTAGTAGTAGTAGCAGTAGTAGTAGTAGTAGTAGTAGTAGTAGTAGTAGTAGTAGTAGTAGTAGTAGTAGTAGTAGTAGTAGTAGTAGTAGTAGTAGTAGCGTAGCAGTAGCAGTAGTAGTAGTAGTAGTAGTAGTAGTAGTAGTAGTAGTGTAGTAGTAGTAGTAGTCCGTAGTAGTAGTAGTAGTAGTAGTAGTAGTAGTAGTAGTAGTAGTAGTCGTAGTCGTAGTCATAGTAGTAGTAGTAGTAGTAGTAGTAGTAGTAGTAGTAGTAGTAGTAGTAGTAGTAGTAATAGTAGTACTAGTAGTACTAGTAGTAGTAGTAGTAGTAGTAGTAGTAGTAGTAGTAGTAGTAGTAGTAGTAGTAGTAGTGGTAGTCGTATTAGTAGTCGTAGTATTAGTTGTAGTAGTAGTAGTATTAGTAGTAGTAGTAGTAGTAGTAGTAGTAGCAGTAGTAGTAGAGGTAATAATGTAGCTTACGTAGTTTCGGCAGTGGTCGTCGTGAGGTTGTAGTGGTGGTTGTGGTTGTTTGTGGTTGTGGTTATTCTGGCTGTTTTTGTGGTTGTTGTTGTTATTCATGCTATTGTTGCTGTTGGTGTTGCTGTTGCTGCTGCTGTTGTTGTTTGTTGGTGTTTTTGTTGTTGAACCCTCACTACTGAAGAACATGGTTTGTTGACCCCCCTCAGGTGACCATTGTGTTTGCTCAATTGAAGTGCAATCCCCGGGGCTCGTACTTTTTTGTTTTTTTGTTTTTATTTTTTTTACAAGGGAGAGTCACTAGGCTCAAACTGCGCCCCTGGCCCCTGGATTACAACAACAACGGCTCCCGCCTGAGACTTCCTCACAATTTAGCCAGGACCCCCGCTCCCGCCTGAGACTTCCTCGCATTTTACTCAGGAGTCGCGCCCTCGCGTGGGACTACCTTACATATTATTCAGGAGTCGCTCCCCCGGCGCTCTGGAGTCGGGCTCTCGCTGGAGACTTGCTTGCAGTTTGCTCAAGAATCGCGCTCTTGCGTTGGAATCCCCCGCAATTTACTCAAGCGCCGCGCTTCCGACACGCAGGCACCCAGGAGTCGCGCTCACTCTTAGGACTCCCTCGCAGCTTACTTAGGAATCTGGATCTCGCTGCCCTTCGTGGCCCCGTTGCAGCCCTTCGTGGCCTCCCGCTGTCCTTCGTGGCCCCGTTGCAGCCCTTCGTGGCCCCCTCGCTTGCCTTCGTGGCCCCGTTGCAGCCCTTCGTGGCCTCCTCGCTTCCCTTCGTGGCCCCGTTGCAGCCCTTCGTGGTCCCCTCGCTGCCCTTCGTGGCCCCGTTGCAGCCCTTCGTGGCCCCCTCTCTGCCCTTCGTGGCCCCGTCGCTGCCCTTCGTGGCCCCGTCGCTGCCCTTCGTGGTCCCGTTGCAGCCCTTCGTGGCCCCCTCGCTGCCCTTCGTGGCCCCGTTGCAGCCCTTGGTGGCCCCCTCGCTGCCCTTCGTGGCCCCATATAAGTATGCCCTTCGTGGCCCCCGCTCGTTCGCGCCCGTCGTGGCCCCATCTGCTTGCCCTTCGTGGCCCCGCCGGCGCCCTTCGTGGCCCCTCTCTCTGCCCTTCGTGGCCTCGTGGCTGCCTTCAGTGGCCCCGTCCTTCTTCGTGGTCCCGGCTGGTTCGCGCCTGTCGTGGCCCCATATGCATGCCCTCCGTGGCCCCGCTGTCGCCCTTTGTGGCCCTCTCTCTGTCCTACGTGGCCCCGTTGCTACCCTCAGTGGCCCCGTCGTTGCCCTCTGGCCCCGCTTTGTCTGCCTTTCGTGGCCCCCGCTCGTTCGCGCCCTTCGCGGCTCCATGCGCATGCCCTTGGTGGCCCCGCTGTCGCCCTTCGTGGCCCACTTCCTGCCCTTCGTGGCCCCGGTGTCGCTCTCGCTCTCGCTTTCGCTCGTCGTCGTCGTCACCGTCGTTGTCGTCGTCGTCGTCGTCGTCGTCGTCGTCGTCGTGGTCGGCCCCCTGTCCGTCCCTCTTGGGGTCGGGCCACCGCCGGTCAGCGCTGCCGCTGGCCAGGCCGACGGTCCGCGGCCGCCCCGACGTTTTGTTGTTGTGTTTGTTGTTGTTGTTGTTGTTGTTGTTGTTGTTGTTGTTGTTGTTGTTGTTGTTCTTGTTGTTGTTGTTGTTGTTCTTGTTGTTGTTGTTGTTGTTGTTGTTGTTGTTGTTGTTGTTGCTGTTGTTGTTGTTGCTGTTGTTGTTGTTGCTGTTGTTGCTGTTGTTGTTGTTTATTTGTTGTCGTTGCTGAATATTTGTTTCTAGGGTATAAATATTGCCGATCTCTGGAAGCGGTTCCGCGCGCTTTCGCCTCGACGCCGGCTGCAATTCCTTTGAAAACGGGCCCGGCTACAACGACAACGGCTCCCGCTTGATACTTCCTCACAGTTCACCCCGAGGTACCCTGGCTAGCGAGGCCCCCGAACTCAGGAACGGCGCTCTCGCTCGAGACCCCCTCGCAATTCAGTGCGAAGTTGGCGGAGGCCCAGCCACGACGACAAGGGCTCCCGCTCGCTGCTTCCTTCCCCTCTGCTCCTAGTCCCATTCGTCCTTCTCCGTGCTGTTCCAGATCCTTTCCCTGCTCATGCCACGACGTCCCTGGACGTCTCTCCGCGGGCCCCCGGAGGCCTCCCGAGGCCTCCGCGGAGGTGGGGCACTCGGGGGCCCATCTGGAAGGCGAAGCCGTCAAACACCCTCCTCCTTCTTTCCTCCTTGCTTAACTTTCTGGAGGACGATCAATGGAGAGGACGCATGTTGCCAAATAATTTCCAGATGTCTAGAACATGTGTTAATATTGTTCTAAACATATAGAAAACATGCTTTAAACATGTTCAGGACATTTTTCCGACATGTAAACACATTTGTCATTCGATGATAGGACTGTTAGGGTGTCCATTGTCGTGGCGTCCACAAGCTTAACTTGCCCTCGCCCCTGCGGGGCAGGGGTGGCGCAGGACATCTGCGGCGGCAGCAAGTGCCAGGTGGCCGTGGACACCGGCACCTCCCTCCTCGCCGGCCCCTCCGGGGTCGTGGACAAGCTGGTCCAGGCCGCGGGGGCGCGGGGCCAGGCGCTCCCCGGAGGGCGAGTGCTCGCAGGAGGCGGCGGCGGCGGCGGAGGAGGAGGAGCAGGAGGAGCACCAGGGCGAGCACAGGATGCGTCAGCAGTGCTGCAAGGGCACGTCCCTCTGCAGGAGGAAAATTCAAAAATAGTGAAACATAGTATGGGGACGATTGTTTAAGTGTTTTTGGGCATGTTTTGACTATCCTTTTTTTTGTCCAAAGTCCGCCTGTAGGAGGACATGCCCGACCTAACGAGACACCCACCAGTCCCCGCAAGCCTTTTCACTGCAGGAAGCCCCCTCGCCCCCCCCCTGAAGAAAGGCGAGCGTCCCAATGGGCTTGCCATCCAGGCGGGGGCCCCGTCCCGATGAAAGGGAGCCGCCCTCCGTCTCTCTACAATGGCATTGAATCGGGCCTGTCCCTCTACAGGAGGAATATGCAAAAATAGTTCGAAGAATAGTCTGGGGACGATGGTTAAGTATTTCTCGACTATCTAAAATTATCTCTGGGCTAATTTTCAGTTTTCATCCGCAATCCGCCTGCAGGGGGGCATGCCGACCTAGCAACAGCATGCGACGTGAAAGAGGTCGATCCGTGCAGTTTTAAGCCAGCCACGCGCAGAGGGGGGCATGGGGGAGGGGGGAAGGCGTCTTAGAAGCACCCCTGCTGCTCAGAAGGCGCGGGCCTTCCCTACAGATGTAAGGCCGGCGCCCTCTAGGAACCAGCCTCCCTCTAAGAAGCTCTCCCCCCTCCACCTGCCCCCGTCTGCGCGTGGCCAATGACAGGTGTTCAGCGAGAGCCCCGTTTTGGAAAGTCGTGTACCTGCTGCGCGCCTATCAGCAGTGGCCTTCGACCCATCCCGCCACCGTGCCCGGGTTGTGTGTCAGAGGACCCTTGGTTTGCTGGATGCGTACTTGGGTCTCGTGGGATGCCTCTCGGGGGCCTCTTGGGAGCTCTTGGGGGTCTCTTGGGGCCTCCTGGAGGCCTCTTGGGCGCCTCCTGGAAGCCTCTTGGGGCATATTTTGGGCGCAAGCCCGAAAAGGTGAGAACGCTTCGCAAAATGGTGATCCCTTAGGGGCCCTCTTGGCTGTCATCTTGAGACCCTCTAAACTTGGAGGCCTCTTGGGCCGTCTTGACGCCAACTGGGGCCATCCTGCAGCGCTCTTGGGCCGTCTCGGGGCCCTCTTGGAGTATTGGAGGCCTTGTGGGACGGTCTCGGCTCGTATTGGAGCCCCGTTGCATCGGGAAAAGCTTAGCGACAAGCCCCAGAAGACACGCGACAACACGCGACATACACCAACATGTTTGACGTTTGGGTCCGGGCCACTTATAGTGGACTAGGGACAGGACTCCAAAGAACTTGTGGACACTCCAACTTGTGCCCGGAGGCACGGTGTCGGATACATTCTGGTCGAACCAGAGGAAAGTCCCAAGCGCGAGCTTGCTCCAAGTGAACGCTCGAGGACGTCTCGATCGACAGCCCCATCATGAAGAGCCGCCGCTCTCGATCCTTGCATCTGCTCCGTACGTTTGAGACGAACCGCGTTTGGCGCCAGGGCGACAAGCCCATTTCGAACAACAGCCGCTCTCCACCCGTATAAGACTTGTTCCGTTGAGTGCCAATGCGTTCGGCGCTGCGGCGGGAAGCATCAGCAGAGCGGCTCGCCCTCCAGCCGTGCAGTGGCTGCGAACCTTTTCTGGAACGACTAGACTAGGCGCGGCGCCGAGGCGAGAGCTTAACCGGCGCAAAAGGAGCAGGAGGAGGAGGAGGAGAAGAAGGAGGAGGAGGAGGAGGAGGTGGAGGAGGAGGAGGAGGAAGAGGAGGAGGAGGAGGAGGAGGAGGAGGTCGTCAAGAGGAGTGCGCTCGGCGCTGAGGTCAGAGCCGCACGCCGCACCGTCGCTGTAGCCCTCTCTCCGTCCAGCGGTCGGGAGGCCAGGCTTCGGGGTCCTTAGTCGTGGGGGATCCGTGGGCGCTCCTCCACGCCCTGCGACGAGGAGCCGTCCACGAGAAGGGCGCAGTGGTCCTGCGGATCCATGCCTGGGCAACGCCACAGGAGGATCGAAGAGGAGGAGGAGGAGGACGAGGAGGAGGAGGAGGAGGAGCAGGATCATCGCGGAGGAAGAGGTGGAGGAGGATGAGGAGGATGGGGGAGGATCTGGGAGTCTTGGCGTTCTTGACGCCATTCTTGCGTCTCTCTTAGGCCTTCAGAGGCCTCTGGAGGCCTGTGTACAGACGCCGGGCAGATGGTGGGCAGGGCTGCGCCACGTGGAGGCGACCCAGAGCCCGCACGCCGATGAAGAAGCAATTATCATTTTTTTTCGCCGGCGGCGAGGCAGAGTTGGCTGCACCAGCGAGGAGCCAGACGGGGGCGCCGTAAAGCGAATTGGCCAGCGTGCACGAGGGGAAAACGGGGAGGCAAGGCGGCCGCGGGGGGAGGGTGGGAAGGGCAGGACCGTTACAGAGAGCACAAGCTGTCGGAGCTCTGCGCTGGAATCCCTGGCGCGCTTCCGTCGCTGCCCCTGGCGCGCTCTGGGCGCCAGGCGCTGGGGAGGGGGCGCAGTGCAGCGCAGGTCCTAGACATCCGCTCGGAGCTCCGAAAGTTTCTATGCTCATGACGCTGCTCCCTCCTCGACACACGGCGCCAGACCGACGGCGGTGGAACGGCCCTCCTCGGCTGTGGCCCTCCTCGACGGCCTCGTCGCTCTCGACGTCCTCCTTGACGCCCTCCTCGACGCCCTCCTCGCCAGCTTGGCCTTCTCGACCTTCCCCTCGACGCCCTCGACGTTCTCCTCGACGTTCTCCTCGACGTCCTATCCCCGACGTCCTCCTCGCTCCCCCCCCCTGGGGGTGAAGGGCAGGAGCTGAGCGTCGCGGACGACTGCTCCAACATGCGAGATCTGCCCGACCTTGGGCTCCCCTGGGGCGCAGCACAAAGACGAAGCAGCGGCGCGCTGGCGCGGCCGCTCCTCCTCCTCCTCCTCCTCCTCCTCCTCCTCCGCCTCCTCCTCCTCCTCCTCCTCCTCCTCCTCCTCCTCCCTCCTCTCTCTCCTCCTCCTCCTCCTCCGCCTCCTCCCCTCCTCCCCTCCTCCTCCTCCTCCTCCTCCTCCTCCTCCTCCTCCTCCTCCTCCTCCTCCGCCTCCGCCTCCTCCTGCCAAAGGCGAAGCAGGCCGGCGCGCTGGCGCGGCCGGCGACGCAGGCCACAGGCTGCCTGAGCTCAGCCAGCGCTGGCCAGGGGCAACGTCAGCCAGGCGATCGCAAGCATGGATCAAGGGGGCGTGGATTGGCGACGGGTCCCGCTTCCATGGGAAATCGCGGATTTCCGCCGCCGAGCGAGGCGGCACCGGCCGCATTTTGGGGAGGGCACCTCCCCCGATCCATGTTTGCGCGCCCCCGACCCTCAGCAGGAGGAATATCCAGGAATAGTAGCACATAGTCAGGTGAGGATTTCCCGTGTTCGTCTGGCTATTCTTGTGCATTTGTGTGGGTTTTTAGCATGTTTTCTTCTAGTATCCGCCTGTATGAGGACATGCCCGTCCTAATGGTAGCACGATGACTGTATGCTCAGGGAGAGATGCATCGGCCCCAAATCGCCCGCTCATCACCGACATGGGGCCTGATAGCCCACCCCGCCCAGGAGCGTCGGGGGCCTCTCGCCGATTCTCTCGGCGAAACAAAATATCGCCGACTCAAGCTTGACGTTGCCCCCACCCCCCCCCCCTCCCTCCCCGAGCTGCCCCCCCCCTAACGTTCCCCATCGGAGAGCGGCGAGCGATCAAGCTTGAGCGATCCGCGGAGCGTCAGAGCCGACGCCCGCCCACGCCGCCGCTACGTGCGCCTGCCGCAGCTGGGGTCGGAGGATGGGCGCCGCGTCGCCGACGTGGCTCGATCTGGATGCCGATCGGAGATCTGCCTCCGGAGCGAGCCGCAGCGGCGATCTCGGCGGCGCCAATCGTGGCGGAGGTGATCGGCGGTGGCCTCCGCCCCGACGTCGCCGATGCACTGCCGATGCTGTGCCGAGGCGGTGCGATCCTCTGGCCTCGTCCCCTCCCGCGCAGCTTGGGCGGCTCTCAGGTTCGTGGTGGGCGGCAAGACGCTGAATCTGGCCCCAGAGGACTCCCTTCGGCCTTTCCCTGGCCGTCCCTGCGCCCCCCTGAGCGCTCTCTCTTCCTCCTCCTATTCCTCCTCCTCCTCCTCCTCCTCCTCCTCCTCCTCCTCCTCCTCCTCCTCCTCCCCGTCCAACTTCTCCTCCTCCTCCTCCTTCTCCTATGGGGCGTCTAACTGATCATGCTTTCCGCCGCCCTTGAAGCTTTGATGTGTGGGGCAGGGGAATTTGAGGAGCATACCATGCTCAAGTCTATCTTGGCCTCTTGGCACACCTTGCTCACCAGCGCGTCCTCCTAGCTCCGAGCGGGCGCGGGGCTGCGCAGAAGCAACCGTGCTCGGAGAGGACGCGTTGGCAGTGGCAGGCACACTCAGATTGGCCGCTCAAGCGGGACGAACGATTGGTACCACTGCGAGAGTGCCGCGCGAAGATGTTCTTTGGCCAGCCGATGCCGAAAGGCTAGCGCAGCTCTTGAAGGGGCGGGGGGGCCGGGACGACGGATCGGGAAAGGTGGGGGGGTGGGGACCCACAGAATATTTATTGGCTGCTGATCGCATCATCGTCAGCAGTGGTGTCACCGACATCCCCGCAGCAGGTGCGGGCAGGATGAAGCAACCATCACACAATAGGGGGATCGAGATAGCAAGTTGACGGGCGCCGAGAGCTGGGGCGAACAAGCGAATTTGAGGTCAGCACGCAAGGCAGCGTTGTGATAGCATGGTGGTTACTATAGCCCGTGTCGGACGTTTGTGTTATGTTATGTAGTAGGATCGGGTTATGATGCTGACGTGTTGACAATGCTTATTGACATGTTGAATTTCTTCCGCCGGGATGACGTGACCTTGCTGCAGAGGGTGACGTAGTCGGTCTTCTGCAAGCGACCATCATGCAATCCGTAATAGCGGTTGTAGGTACCATGTGATCTCGTATAGTTTCCTCAATTCGAGCCTAACCTGACCTGAATTGAATTAGGCAAATCGGTCTGCGTGTGCTTAGCTTGCCCATGTATGTTTCACAGGTGAATCTGTAGTGGCCTTCGTCCGATCCCGCCACCGTACCGGGGTTGTGGCCTCTTGGATACTTGTTGGGGTGTCTTCGGAAACCTCTGGGAAGTCTCCTGGAGGCAGTTTTGAAGCCTCTTGGGGCCTCGTGGGGATTGTTTGGGGGCCTCTTAGGGTTATCGAGCCTTACTTGACCTGAATTGACTTAGGCAAGTCCGTCTTCGTGTGCTTAGTTTACCCATGTAAGTTACACAGGTAAATATGTAGTGGCCTTTGTCCGATCCCGCCACCGTACCGGGGTTGCGGATCGGTGGCCTCTTGGATGCTTGTTGGGGTGTCTTCGGAAACCTCTGGGGAGTCCCTTGGGTGCAGTTTTCGAGTCTCTGGGGGCCTTATGGGGATTGTTTGGGGGCCTCTTAGGGTTATGGTCCTCTTGGAGCCCTCTTGGGGGCTTCTTTGGGGCTTGTTAGCGATTTCGGGGGCTCCCTTCGGGTTGGTGGCTCGGAATCTCAGCTCGAGTTCCCCATCTTGGGGCCCTCTTGTGGCCCTCTTGGCCCGTCTTGGGCGCCTCTTGTGCCATCTTGAGGTCCTCTTGAGCCGTCTTGGGGTCCTCTTGGGACCTCTTGGGCCATCTTGGGGCGATCTTGGGGGCTTTCTGGACCGTCGTGGACGTTGTGAAAGCCCCAACACCTCGAACTTGAAATATAATGCTTCCTTCGGGAATGGAAGGAGTTTAGCCTTTTGGGGTGCTCTCGGGGCCCTCTTGAGGCGTTTTGTTGGCCCTTTGGGCCGTCTTGGGGCCACAATGGGCCATCTTGAAGCTGTCTTGGGCCGCTCTGGGACCATCTTTGGCTACCTGAGGCGGTTCTTTAGACGCTGCTCCTGGGAGCACCCAGGGTCTGGCAGGAAATCCTAGGAAATCTGGTGAAATCCTGAGCGCGGTTGGGAAATTGGGGGTCTGGGCCTGTAGACCGGGCACCCCGTGTACCTCTCAGGGCTGCTGGGCTGCATAAGTCTTGGGGCATTGCGCTACGTGCTGAACACGTCGCTGATGCAATATTTCGTGACACACAACACGCCGAACGCCCTAGCCTCATCTGGTCAAGCCCAGGGTGCCCTGCGTAACTGTATGTAGTTAACATTCGTTCAATGACGGCGCGCATTCATATTAGTTAAGGATGGTTCGATTGTTTCTGTATGTAGTTCGACACAGCTGGCTAGTATTATTTCCCATACCGTTTTGTCCAAGAATAGCCGATCTTGCGAGTACCATCGATGTTGGATGTGTTTTCACATGTTGGGCAGGCTTGGTGTAGACCACGTGAGCTACTGTCACGGAGCAGCGATATTTCACGCCAGTAGGCTTTGGATCGGGATTTATTCAAGTTGTCAGCGGCCAGTCAAGTACACCTCCTCGCAGCAATTCGAAACATACAGTATTGGAGTAGCTTGTCAGAGTCCATGAAAAGAGGTTGGCTTGTTCTGCTGTTACGGTTTTGCTGCTTTGGAGCCTACACAGCATTGCGGCATTGAAAGATACGGTATGCCTGACTAGCGTCGTTGGGACTGTGCCATGACCTAGACATCTGGCGGCTTGATTTTCAGAGACCTGGGCCGACCCCAAGTGCAGCTCTTTTCCTGCGTCGTTTCCTGACCATTGGGCCCGAGGCCACTCCCCCTGGAGGTCCGGAATGGTGGGGAACACCACCTGCCGTCTCCACTCACTCGATCCGCCGGATGCCTGGGTAATTGTCGCCTCCATGCCTCTCTGGTGCCAGCTGGGCCGCGAGGACTACGTAGCCCAGTCCACGCAGGGGTGCTCCCTGGGGCTCATGTCGCTCGACATCCCCCCTCCGAAGGGCCCGCTGTTTATCTTCGGCGACCCGTTCCTCAGGACGGGAGGGCTCGCACGATACACCGTGAATAGTTAACGACGGCGTCGCCGTTGTCTGAAATTTGGTTGGGGACGTTTCTGGAGGTTCTCGTTGTTACGGCTTGACGCGGCTTAGACGATTTGCCAGGGTGGCCTTTGGGAGGGGTCTGGGGCTTGGCTTGATCCCGAGCAGATTCTCCTCAAGGAAGCAGGACAGAGATTCGAGACTCGAGTAGTGCTGAGTCGTATACATTTAGTTGAGATAGTATACGTAATGTATACATCGATATGTCTATATTTATCGATGTGCATGTTTCTTATTTGTATGTGTATATACACACCATGCACAAGACTGCAACTTGTTGCTCCAGTTCTCATTTGCGGAAAGCGGAGTGCTGGGCGCACGCCGCCATGAGGATTGCGCGCACGCGTTTTTTTCTCGTGCTTCCGTTTGCAGCGCCGGGCGGTGCACATTTTCCCAGAAAGGCTTTGGCGAGCATCCACCGGGGGCCTTGCGTGCGATCTTGGGGCGTTTTGTAACAGTTTCAGGTGTATTTTTTCTGGGCCTTCTGGGGCTTCCTGGGCGCCTTTTGGGGACCTCTGGGAGCTTCTTGGGATGATTCCGCGTCGTGTCGTCGTCCGCTTCATTTCGCCCGCTTCAATTCGTCCGCTTCGATTCGCCCGCTTCGGTTCGTCCAATTGCCATTCGCCCGGGCTTCGAAAATGGACGAAATGAAAGTGGACGAAACGAAAGAGGACCAAACGAAGGCGGACGACATGGAAATCCACCCCTCAGGGCCACCTTGCTAGCAGCCACGCTTTCCAGCAACCGTCTGGTTGCAATCTGGAGTGCATGCTTCGGGGGGGCGTCTTGGGTTTTCTTGGGCTGCCGTGGGGCTCCCTTAGGCCCTTGGGGCCACATTGGGGCTCTCTTGGGCCATACTGTTGCTCCTTTGGTCCGTCGGGAAATCCTCTTTGGGGCGACGGATTCCTCCCCCGCCTTTCCTCCCTCCCTCCCTCCCTCCCTCCTCCTCCTCCTCTGTGCCACTGAGCTTTCTCGCGCTCGTAAAAATAAAGGTTGCTCTTTTGGTCCGTCGGGAAAGCCTCTCTGGGGCGACTTCTGGTGCCTTCTTGGGCAGCCTCGGACGCCCGAGGGACCGAAGAACCGAGCACTCCCAGGCCATACTCGAGTCGGGCACGTCCCTCTGCAGGAGAAGCATGCAAACGTACAGGCGGCCCGGGTTAGTAGGTCCACCCTACCAGATCAAGGGTACCCACGTGTCCTGCGTCTTGCGACCCATGCCTCCTGCATTCCTGTGGAAACGTGGCCCTCGGAAGGATCTTGTGTCCTCTCGCGTGTCCTCCCCATTCAAGTCCGACTGCACTTACAACAGAAATAGTCGGGGCACGATCGTTGGATGCTGTTTGATTTGTCTGCCTCTTTTCTGTGGACTGGTCTTCGCCTTTCTCCCAAGCTCTGCCTGTAGGAGGACGTGCCCGACCCAAAACCAGACCCCCAAAGCCATAGGACCATATTTGTTGCTCTGTGGCTAGAAGGCCTGGGCGTGGCGTCCAGGGGCGTCTCTCCGGGGCCGCTCGGCGCTCTCGCGCGCGGGCCTCTTCTGGCCAGCCTCCGGAGCGCCTTGGCCCGGGTGTGCTGGCGTGGCCCCCGCGGTGCCGTCCGGGAGGTCAGTTCTCTCCTCGCCACCCACGAAGCCACCGCAAACCCAGCCCGAAGGCTTCAGGCTGCCCTCCATGCCCAGTGTGGGGGGGGGGTCGGGGGGAACACTGAAAACACACAGGTGACCCCCCCAAACCCGACATTCGGGTCAAAGTCGGGTCTTCGGGTTGGGTTGGGGTGGTCAGGTGGGTAGTCCTTTCCTCGGGGGCAGATTTCCTTGTTTTTTCCGGATCAGTGGGAAGATTGAAATAGGAGAACACCAGTATTATCCATCGTGGGCCACGAACAGTGAGTTATTGCATTGTGGAGGTGGAAGCTACGCGGTGTTCGGTGTAAGCTATGTTATGTCAGTTTTATGTGGTGCGAGCTATCTTGTCTGAGCTATGACTGTGCGGTGTGGCCTCTCTGGTGTGAGTTATGTTGTGCAAGCTCCCGCGGTGTAGGCCATGTGGTGAGATATGTAGTGCAAGCCACTCGGTGCACGCCGCACGGTGTAAGCCATGCGGTGTGATCTATGTTGTGTGAGCTACCTAGGCCCCCGACGTCATATTTTTGTTCATTACGTCGACGCCTGGAGGGCTCGACCCAGTCCCCAGGACCAGTTTTTCGTCCCTAGTCGTTCTTGGACGGTCCCGAGGCCCGGTGAGGGGCCCTGGAGGGAGAAACTCGTGAAAGACCTCCCCTCCCGACTCTTTCCCTGCCCGAGGGGGCATGGGGCGCCCACGAGCTCCCACAATCGGCAGCGCGGGCGCGAGGACCTCCGGGGGCCTCCTGGCGCGGGCTACAGCGCAGCACCTGCAGGCGCGTCTGCGCCCTCGCGCACGCGGTGCTCGCTCGGCGGAAGCTGGAGTTGGACGGCTCCGCCGCCCTCATGTTCTGTTTACTCGCAGGCGATCTCTCGCCCCTCATCCTGCGCGCTTCGAGAGGCAAACCTCAGAGGCATCAGGCTTGCTCGGCGCTGTCGTGGCGTGGTGATCTTCGTTCGAAAGCCCCGCGACGTCGGGGATTGGGGTCGCCATGCCCTTCGTCACTTACCCGTGGCCTGCTGTAGCCGTCTCGGCACGCCTGGGCAGGGAGCGTTTCAAAAAATCCAGAACTAGAAGTGGGCAGAATTTGGAGAGGAGGGCGCGCGCCGCGTCGTCGTCGTCGGCGTCGTCGGCGTCGTCATCGTAGTCGTCGTCCTCCTCTTCGGTCCTCTTCTCTCCTCGCGTGCTCCATGGCACCTCGAAGAAGCTCCTGGGCTCCCAAAAGCCCTGCCGAATGACAACCGGCGCACCCTTCTGGAGTTGTCTCGCACCCGCCGAAGCCTGTTTCCCCGCGGCTCTTGCTCAGCAGCCGCGTGCGCGGCACCGCGTGTTTGGGGTCGACGAGGCGCAGCGGGCGCGCGCGCGCGCCGGGAGGAACAGTGAAAACCCATGGCGAGGACGGGTAAGCTTCCCAAGGGCGCCCTTACGTCCTTAGATTTGCTCGGCACTGCGCCGCTAGAAGAGCTTCAGCTGGGGCGTCCAAGGACCGCCCAAGGGTCTCACGTCCGTGCAGTGCGTCCTTGCCGCAGACTTTGACTGCACCCCAGGGGGCAGCCCCACCCGCCCGCGGAGAACCCGAAGGCGCCAGTAACCTCAACGCGCCTCAATGCAGACATGCAGCCAGCTCCGAGGCGGGGATTTGTCTATATCCACCGCCTGGGGGATCGATCCTCGCGGACCTCCACAGGCAGTAGATATGGATATCTTCGGGCCCTCGGGGGCCAAAATATATCCATATCCACCGCCCGCTGGGGCACCAGGACGTCGGTTCCCAGAAGGTGGATATGGAGAAATTCCCGCCTCGCACCAGCGAGGGCGGCGCATGGGGGGGATGCAGAGGGGGGTCCACGGATCCCAGCGGGCCGGCTGAAAGAGGGTCGGAGGGCCATGCCGGGCGGGCGTGGCAGGCGAAGCCTCCTCGAGGCAGTGGCGACCCCCCCGGGGCCAGTGGTGGCCCCCCTTTCTGGGCGTTGCCCCGCCGCCCCCCCGATTTCCCTCCCCCCTCGCCCGCCCGCTCCCGGCAGCTCGAGGATCGCCGGCCGAGCTCGTCGGAGGCGAGGCCTGCTAGACCCCCTCGGGGCCCTCGGGCAAGTCACGGCGGGAGGCTCTTTGGCTCCCGTGGGCGACCTGCGGGCTGCTTCCGCCGAGAGGGCGGTGCAGCTCGCGGGCGGGAGCGGTTTGTCTAGGCATGGGCGGCGTGCTGAAGGCATCCGCTTCCTTTCACCCACTGCTCACGCGCTGTGGCCGGCGCAAGGCTCCTGGTTTGGACTGGGAGGTTGTTCGCCATGTTCGCCCTCTGGGGGGCCCTCACCAGGCCCCGGGACGGTCCAAAAACGGCTCAGGATGAAAAACCGGTCCCCGTGAAAGGGTCTACAGACTTTTGTGGGTCACGTCATGAAAAAAACTCGTGACGTGGGGGGTCTGGGCCCGACGCCACCTCCACGCGGCGGCGAGTCGGAGGATCCAGAATCACCTCTAGGGCCAGACGGAGTGCCCGCGGCATCGGATGGCTCCGTCAAGCCCGAAGAGGGTCCGATGGTCTTCTGCAAGATCCCCAATGAGCCGCAGGTGGCCCCAAGATGCTCTGAAGATTTCGAACGGGTCCCGAGGACCTTCAAGCAGAGACCCTGGACCAGAAGCAGTGAAAGCTCCCCGTTTTTCCGATGCCTTCCTTCGCGATCGCTCTTCCTCTCAAGACGCTTCACGGGCGGGCTTCAGTCGGGAGGCCCCCACAGCCCCCGAGGGCCTCCGACGGGTCCCCGAAGGGCGTCCGAAGGGCCGCCGAAGGGCCTCCGAAGGGCCTCCGACGGGCTTCCGAGGGGGCTCCGAGGGCGCGCGCGCGCGCTGCCCGCCCGCCTGCCGCGCCCACCCGCCGCCCAGAGGAAGTACTACACCGTGTACGACCGGGAGCGCCTCCGCGTGGGCTTCGCGCTCGCCCGCCACAGGCCGCCGCGGCGCCGCCGCCGCGGGCGCGCCTCTCCCCGGGGGCAGCCGGGCTCCCGATCCGACGCGCAGGCCGTCGCAGACCCGAAGCTGCACGCACCGCCTCCCGTGGAAGGGTTCCTGTGGTCGAGCCCCTGCTGCACGCTCGTGGAAGCCGGTTGATGGAGAGGAAGCATGCTGCTACATAATTTCCAGATGTCTAAAACAGGTTTCAAACATGTTTTTCTTTTAAGAAATACATAACTACACACACATTTTTTTTTTATATATATATATTATGGAAACATGTTTAGAACATGTTTTGCACATTAAAAGCACATGTTCAATTCAATGATCGGATTGTTCGAGTGTCCATTGTCATGGCATCCACACCTGTACGCCCTCTGCGACGGGCTGCGCACGGCAACCGCTGCACCGCGCAGGCGCCGCGCGCACGGGCACGGGGGTCGCCAAAGGCGGCCTTCCGCCGCGCCGCCCTGCGCACCCCGGCCCCGCGACGAGCTCCTCGGAGCTGCGGGCGCCCACCCCCTCCTTGCTCCCCCGAAGGCTGGCCGATGAGGCACGGATCAAGCTGGGGGCATGCCGAGATCTCGGCGGATCCGAGCCAAAGTCAGCTGCTGCGGTCGGCGCTCGGGGGGAGCATGCCGATTTCGGGGAACCCCGGGGTCCCCGAGAGGCCCTGGGCTCCTCGAAGGCCTCGTGGCCCCCGATCTCGCCCTGGCGAACAACGCCGACGTCGAGAGCTTCTGCCCAGGAGGTTGGACACGTATGGCACTGGGCGAGGCGAGAGATGGATACACATTTGGCCACTGTCGTTCCACCGCTAAGCCATTTCGAAAGGCCAGGAAACTTGGAACGCTCGCCCTCGGTATGTATACCCAGCGCGTGGCCTCGGGATGCTTCACACCTGCATCCAGCCAATTGCATCTTCAGCTTCCTGGTGTATATAGATATGTGTTGATACACATAAGAACAATAGAGAGAGAGGGGGGGAATACAGGGAGACAGAGAGAGCGGGAGGAGAGGAAATTCTGTATCCACACATATACATCGAGAGCAGTGCGGAGGGGAAGTAAGAGCCAACCCCACAATCCCGTCATGAGGATGACAATAGTGTTGGTAGTGATGACGATGACGATAAGCATGAGGATGAGGATGGTGATGCTTATGATGCTGATAATGATACTGACTGATGAGGACGAAGATGATGCTGATGCTGATGATGCTGATGGTGATGATGCTGATGATAATGATGATGCGTTGGGTGGTGATGCTGATTGTCAGAATGATGATGCTGATGCTGATGATGCTGATGCTGATGCTGCTGATGATGATAGTGGTGATGATGATGATGATGATGATGACGATGATGATGATGATGATGATGATGATGATGATGATGATGATGATGATGATGATGATGATGATGCTGCTGCTGATGATGATGATGATGAGGATGTGGATTAGGATGAGGAGTATGAGGAGGAGGAGGATGAGGAGGACGACGATGAGGATGATGGACACGATGCTGATGCTGATGCTGGTGGTGCTCGTGGTGTCGGTGAGGCCACGGTGAAATACGGATCCAGACGGCCAGCGCGCGCTGGCTGCCTGCTGGCGACGGGGGAGACACCCCTTGGAGGAGGGCAAGACCTGCGCGCGTCGGGAAGGAATCACGACGGGAGTTTCTTTTTATCCGTAAGGGCTTCGCCCCCTGCCGCAGGCCCCCTCTCTCGGATAATGGGCAATGCAAGAGCGAAATCATGAGGCCTTGGCGCCGCCGTGAAGCAGCGTCGGGACTTCACGCCAAGACGATGAGTAATCGGCAAGACACATTCAGATTCTGATGATATTGTTGAATTCGGTGTTGCATTTCGAGCTTGCTCGCGTATGTTGTGCAAAAAGCTTTTGTGACATGATCCCATGTGTTTTCTGACCCTGACTCTGCCGATCTGCGTGAGGGGTGCCACCGAATTTCAAGGCATGTGGCAAATCCCATGTGTTTTTCGACCCTGACCTCGTTGATCTGCATGAGGAGTGCTACCGAATTTCAGGAATGTGGCGAAGACCTTGTATTTTTCGACCCTGACCCCGCCGATCTGCGTGAGGGAGGCCACCGAATTTCAAGACATGTGGCAAATCCCATTATTTGTTGTTCCACTTTGATTTCGCTGATTTGTGTAAGGGGTGCCGCCGAATTTCAGAAATGTGGCACATCCCATTGGTTTTTCGACCCTGACCCCGCCGATCTGCGTGAGGGGTGCCGCCCCTAGTGTCGAGCCCCCCAGAAATTTTGAGAACTCTCCCAGGAGATGCTAGTTTTGTTGGTTTTCGGCTCCCCCCTCTCTCGCACGGTCTACAACCAGGAACAGCAAGCAGCATTGCAATATTGTAAAAGTGGCAACTGGAAACTGGAACTGGCGCAGGGAACAGCTCAGCCTACAGCCTGGTGGCCCCACAAGGGGGCCTGTATACACACACACACATATATCTATATATATATATATATATATATAAGCTGCACGCAGTTTTCGGCCTCTGGGGTGCTCTCGCCAGGCCCTGGGACCGTCGAAGAAAAACGACTCGGGATCTTCCTCCTCCTCCTCCTTCTCCTCATCCTCCTCGTCATCATCATCACCATCCATCACCATCACCATCACCATCATCATCGTCATCATCATCATCATCATCATCATCATCATCATCATCATCATCATCATCATCATCATCATCATCATCATCATCATCATATCATTCTTCTCCTCCCTCTTCCTCCTCCCCCTCCTCCTCTCCTCCTCCTCCTCCTCCTCCTCCTCCTCCTCATCATCATCATCATCCTTCCTCCTCCTCCTCCTCCTCCTCCTCCTCCTCCTCCTCCTCCTGGAGAAAGGGGTCAGGAAGTCTTCCTCCTGGAAGGCGTGGGTGCCTTGAGGCCCTCGCCCACCGAGGCAGGCCGCGAGCCGCTCGGGGGACGAGGACGCCGGCCACGCGGCATCCTGAGTGCTGCTGCAGTGCCCCTCGGCCAGAGCGTCAGCTCATGGACTTAACCATGATGATCAGGAGAGGAAAACACACAGACATAATTAATCGTCGATTCCCGGACCGCCTCCGGAAGGGGGGGGCTCTCGAGGCAGCGGCTGCTCTCGCGCCAAGCCCGAAGCCTGAGCGGGCGGAGGAGGAGGAGGAGGAGGAGGAGGAGGAGGAGGAGGGGGAGGAGGGGGGGGGAGGATGAGGAGGATAAGGAGGAGGAGGAGGAGGAGGAGGAGGAGGAGGAGGAGGAGGAGGGGGAGGAGGAGGAGGAGGAGCAGGAGGAGGAGGAGGAGGAGGGGAGGCCCCCTCCTCCGAAGAAGGGACTCGAAGGTGCCGAGATGGGAATACGACATGGGGTTCGGGAGGGGGCTCTCTGGTCTTCGGGCCAGCTCCTCGGGTCGGGGAACCTATTCGTGGCCGAGGCTTGCCTTTGCTGGCCCCTTCGCTCCTTGGTCTCGTCCCGAACAAGAGAGCCCCGAACCCTGAGACACGCGGAAGACGTGGCTTCATTTGTGTTCCCGTCTTCGCATTCGGGATCATACATCTGGGCGGTTCGCTCTGATGCATCTGCAGACAGACGCCCCCTTTCTCTAATGTTTTTGGCCCTCCTAACTTAGGTTCCCCCCCGCAGGATTCGGGGTCGTCTCATTGCTAATCATTGATCAGCTTGGCACGCCCGAAATGGATGTGGAAAACATGGTATGATGCCCAGCAGCAAATAGCAGCGATCGCTGCTGGACAGGCGACTTTTTGCCCCAAGTGGACGACGTCCGCGGCAGCACCGACAACAGATCTGGCTCCAAATCTACAGGGACGGGTGCTGCTCTTCGCCCCCACTCTTGCCGCACCAACTTCGATCGTACCAATCAGCACTCTTTGTGCATTGGCACGATGGCTGCAGGTGGAGGAGGGGCCCGCCGCTGGGGCAGGCCCGTGCCGGAGGACGAGTCCCTGCTCGCCACGGGCCGGTCCCTCCGCAGGAGGACCAGCGCCGCCGCCTCCTCCTCCTCCTCCTCCTCCTCCTCCTCCTCCTCCTCCTCCTCCTCCTCCTCCTCCCCCTCATCATCGTTATCATCAGCATCATCATCACCGCCGTGATCATTATCTTTCCTCCTCCTCCTCCTCCTCCTCCTCCTCTTTCCCCAGGGCAGAGCCGTCAGGCTGTCATGTGTTTGAAAAAGCGCGCGCTTCAGGGCTTCAGGGCAGTTCGTGCTTGCGGGCCCCTTGAAGTCTCTTCACGAGTGCAGGCACTTGCTGCCCCAGGAGGCGGCCGATGAGATGCCCGCGCCTCCGCCATGTGCACCAGACATCGTTGCGCGGGCCACGGGGGCCCGCCTGGGCACGTGGGGCGGTGTGTGGTGCGGCCAGCACGAGCTGGGCTCGTCGAGTCCGGTGCGCTAGTGGGCAGGGGGCCCCGCTGCGCACCGGGAGCATGAGCAATTGGAGTCTGGGCGGCTTGGGTGCGGATCATCGAGAAGTCCCTGCGAGGCGCAACTCCGACGTCCTCTCCTGAGAAGGATGGGATCGCCATGGACAATCAAGCCACTACCGTGGAAGGCGCCAGTCGAGCCGCAGAAGGATCATGATATCCAAACGAACGACACGGACGAGATCAAGAAACCCAAGTTGTCGGAAAACACTCTCAGCTACGAGGCCAGCATCAAGTCACTGCTGGTAGGGGCACATAACAATGACATAGGAAAAACGCTGCAATCGAATACCGCGGACATACGTGTGCAACAGAAAGGGCTACGAACGCCGGCGGTGGCGCATCGACTGGCCACGCAGGACCTTCAGAAGGCGGCGGCGGCACCCAAGAATTTGAGAGTGACGTCAGCGAGAAGGAGGAGCAGCTACAGAAACTGCAAGGGTCGCTCATTTCCAAGAGGACTGCGCTGGAGGCCTAGAAGGTTGAGGTCCCGACGCTGGGTCGCGAGGTCGCAGAATCACAGCATATCGGAGCACCTGCTGCCCCTGGACACGCAGCTGACCCCTTCAATGTCGAAGGAGAAGACGTCGAAGACGACAACGAAGCCAACATATTCATTGCGTCACAGAAATCAACCAGGCTGCGCGAGAATTTCGCAGCAAGGCAGGCTCCCTGCGAAACGCGACGATGCGATGCCACTAGCTGCTGCGCAGGATCATTCAGGTGGTGGTGATGCTGGTTCTGCTGCCGTCGGCGGTGGCAGGAGAGCTCAAGATCTTGAGCTCAGGCGCAGCATCAACGAGCTGGCCGACGGAGTTCGGCAGCAGTTGTTTGCAGCAGGTCAATCGGGATCACAGGAAAACTTCGCGGCGTTGGTGCGTGAAGGTGGACGGAAGCAGAAGTTGTCTTGATGCTGGTTGGCAGATCTCACTCTCAGGTATTCGACTGCAGGGAGGTGGGGTCCGAGGCCCACGTCAGCCTGGAGCCCAAGGAAAGTTCATGAGAGAGGCTTTCAACACCAGCGGGGTCCATGACACGTTGGAGAATTGCTTTGCTAACCAGTGCTAGGACATGACTTGCCGGGGATAGGGTACGCGGACAACAATCTGGAAGCTGCGAATTCAGGCCCAGCAGCAAACCATGAACATGTTCAGCCACAGCTACCAGGCATGCTGCAGGCTCAGTGAGTACCGCCACGGTGCGTGGCAATCTCTGTCCATGACGACCTCGGTTTGCGGCATCCGCTTGATGGCCAGCTTGTTTGCGAACTGCGATTTCAGCATGTGCTGGTGGATGTCCCAGGACGACCTCAATATCCTACGCGTGCACCTCAAGGGCTCGATCGGACCAGTCGGCGCCAGCGCGGGGATTCTAGCAGTGGCATGGCGGGTTCTGCCAAGGACAGCGCTTTCTGCGACCATTGGCGGCGCCTGGAACACGAGCGGTCTGATTTCCCGCGGCCAGCTGGCGCGGTAGCTGCAGTGCGTGATCAGGTCACTTTTCGAGGAGGAACAGGAACTAGCGAGCGCGATCGATTCATGTTACGTTTGAAGTGCCCTGGTGCGTGGATGTCGCGGCATCAAGGCTGTGGGGGCTTCCGATTCAGCTGCAGCTGGCCAACGGATGCGAGATCCAGCTCTTTTGTGTATGCAATATCTAGCATGCTTCCTGCTGCCCCGCAGCCCGTCTGACTGCGCCAGTGGACGGGGGGGGGGGGGGGGCGTGGAATTCGCGCGGTGCGCAGTGGAGTTGGCGCGAGAGCCTAGCTCGGATGTCGCGGTGGCGCGGGTTTTGTTGACCGGAGTCTGCGCCAGGTTTGCAGCGTCACTTGCGGGCAATCTTTCTCGCAATACTGGTGTCGAGATACACGAGTCGGGTGCTGTCGCTTTTGCGCGAAATCTGGAGTCGCGATGGGTTAACGCAACATGCCCAATGGAATATGAGGACGGCGTGCAACGCGATGCCAGGGATGGCAATGGCCCCAGGAACGATCATCACCACGCAGAGGCGCACCGACGCAAGGGTGCGACGGCGCAGTGTCCGGAGGAGAGTGCATCTTTACTGGTCACCCCTTACCTGGTCCAGGAATGGGCGCGCGGCTCGGCCCCATCGCGGTGCAGGCGCGCGGCGAGGTCAACGCAGCGCCAGTGGGCATGGGTCTCATCCAGACGACCCTGGAAGAGATCTCAGATTTCGCGACGCGTACCATCGAGAGGCAAGAGGATGAGTCAAACGAGCCCTGGCAGGAGGGCGCAGCATTGCGTCCCGTGGAGGTATTCGGCTTCTGCCCCGCGCAACGCGAGTCAAAGCCATCCCTGCCCCTGCCAAAGCTGCTGGCATACAATCGGCGAATCCAGTTGCTAGCGCGGGGCAGGAGGTCGAACTGCGTCGGCGGCTCTGGCGTGCATCGTCTACGGCGAAGTCGGCCCGGGTGCCAGACGCATTGACGCGTCCGATTATTGGGCCAGATGATGTTCGCAATGTTGCGAGACCTTTTGCCGCGAGCGCGGCCGCGAGTTTCGACCGCGACCATCTACGACATCTGTTGCTCCTCGACGACCAAGAATTGCGCGCGTTGTCTTTGAATTGGCACGCCGCAGAAGCCATGGGCCATGGGCGCGCCGCCGAAGCAGTTGCGCTGGATCTGGGCGTTGGTCCTTGGAAAACCTTTTCAATGACATTGCTTGATCATTCTGTGCGCGGCAACGCGCGGTGCGGCTCAACAAGCCAGCGCATTTTCTATAGTTGCGCACAGTCACGATACGATAGATAAACGATACTGGGAAGCGAGGAGAGGGCGATCGGCCCCAGACTGCGCGCGTCTTCAGGCAGCGCGTTCAGCGTGCAATCAAGCCACTCGCAGTTGTTAAGCTCTCATCGTGGCCGTCTGGAGCAAATAATACGAATCGTTGTCGCTCGTTGAGCTCCATCATAAATTTATCAGGAATGGGCGCCAGCTGAAGCAGGCGGTGAACCTTTGAGTCTGCCATCGCATTGCGTGGCTTGGCAGACGTCACGCACGGCCGTCGCTTCTCGTCAGGTTCGGGCTGCCTGCGAAATGTGCCTTCGCTCGCTTCGACGCCGAGGCGCCGGTGGTGGACTTCCAGCGCCTCATCGATGAAGGCGGCAGCCGCGGCTCGGCGGGCATCTCTGATTCTGCGAAGTCTGTTGCAGTCGATGGAACGAGGGAGTTCATCGAGACGAACTCCGAGATCATCGCGGGCCCGAGCGACGGCAAGCTGTAGATCTCGGCCATATCCCGAGCTTGGGATGCCGCCCGGCGCGCGCAAGCACAGCGTCGCCCACCTCGGGGTCGACGAGCTGGCAGGTGCCAAATGGTCTGGATACCGAGCTCGGTTGAAACAGCGTGCCCGTTTTCTCAGATGCAAAAAAGAATCCGCAATGCCCGACCCGCCCGCGGGCGTTCCAAGTGAACAAAGGAGATCCCCTCAAGAAGCTTTCGAGGCATAGCGTCGCGCCTGCTTGCAATTTTTGGGTGGAAGTCCTGGGTCTCGCCGCCTCGGAATGGCTTGGCCCGCAGATGACCTGGGGCGAGGGCCCCTCGCGCGGCGGCTTTTCGATCGCGGTGCTGGGCGATGGGAAGTCGAAGATCGCGCTGGCTCCAGCTTCTTCCGGTTTCGGACAGCTGCGCGACGCCCGCACATCTCCTTGGTCTCTCGCGCTGAATTATCGCGGCTCCGGGGGCTGCCCGGCTGCCCCGCCCCCGTCGGGCGCGCTGTCCCGGGGCACATTCAAGGGGCCAGTTTCGAGCGTTGGCTTTTGCTCAAGTAGATCGGGGCGGCGCGTTGAAGGCCCGCTTCGTTGGATTGATTGGCGTTCTCGAGGTGGATTCGAATCCCCCCCCCGCAGCATGCAGACCGGCTCGAACTAGGCAGGCAGCGCCAGGGAGAGTTCGAGCTTGCGCAAGAATTGGGGCACCCAGGAGGGCCCCGATCCACCCTGGACGCGGTCGAAGATCGGGTCAGCCCTGCTTTCTCGCAAGTGCACGCGCTACCAAAGGGATGTGATCAAGAGCTGCGGTTGTAACGGGCTGTGGACGGATGATCGCGCGGCGCGCGCGGGACATTTGCGCCGGCGCGCGTGAGTGCGGTTAATTTGATGCTGCCCATCGCAGGCTCTACAAATGCCAGGTAGACCGCGCAAAAATGCCCAAGGGTGCATTCGGAGCCCCTCGGCCCTGCTAAAGATGCATCGCGTGCCGGCCCGGACTTCCCCACTATCAGGATCGGGTTCCACGTGCGTCAGGGCAGCGAGTTGCCTTGCCCGCCGACGTCGCCCAAAGTCTTCTCGTGTGATCGGCTTTCCGCTCCCTTAGTCTGGCCTCGGGCTGTTGTAGCAGTAGGCCGTGGATCAGACCCTTGCAGCGAGCTTCGCGGGCGATCGTGGCGCGCCCTGACGTCGGGGAGGACCCAGCTTCGATCGTCGAAGGCACAGTGCCAAGTTCCCCCCTCGAACTCTTGCCATGGCTGAACATGCAAGGTCTGCGTTTTGTGGTCAGTTAGCCACCAGTCTCCCCGAGATCGGGGCTGACTGTTTGGCTGCCATCCGAGCTATTCAGGAAAATGTCGGCGAGCAGCTTTTGCATCCCAATGCGTTTACAGGCGCGCGTCCTTCTGCCTGAGCGCAGCCCTTCTTATTCCCTGTCACGTCAAGGCCGACAGAGAAATTGAGAGAGAGAGAGAGAGAGAGTGAGACAGCGAAGTAATTCAGGGGCTCGAGGCCGTTGATGAGATTTCTGTTGTTGCGCTTGCTGCTGCCGGCCGCCGAGCTTTAGACGCTCGCAGCCTTCGCCCCCCCACCGCGAACTTTCGCGCAAACGCTGCACCTGGCGCGTATCTGTAGATATATGGAGAGAGCGGGAGAGAGAGGCTGAGAGAGAGAGAGAGAGAAACAAACACATAACAAGCATAGATAATGATATAGAACGAGAGAGAGAGAGAGAAAACCATGGAGAGAGAGAGAGAGAGAAACAAACAAAACCATACATACATTCATAACACAGAGAGAGAGAGAGAACAAAAAAAAAAAAGAGAGAGACAGAAAAAGAGAGAGAGAGAGAGACAGAAAGAGAGAGAGAGAGATAGAACAACACATAACAACAGGGAGAAAGCGATATAACGCTGGTCATGTCGCGAAGTTGGCAGCACACGTCTCGCCCTGTTTTGTATATGAAGTTCGGTGGACGACGCCCCGCCGCACTCGAGCCCCTCGGTCCAGGAGACAGGCTTCCTGGCATCACTGGCAGCGTGGTGATCTCGGCATGCAGCGCCGAACATGTTTCGCGATTGTTGAGGGGTCGCTCGAGACTGTCCCACTGGATGGACGCAGGGCCCCCCCCCGCCTTTCTGAAACAAGCTCCTCTGTGACCACATGGGGCACCTGGTAGTCGCCATGGCCAGACTTGCGGCTCGGAACGCGGATGGTCTCCTGGAGTCGTGCCGGTCCGCGCTGAGACAGCTGATCTTGTGCATGCGTTGTGAAGGTTGGTCCCAAGGTAGGTGGATTTAAATGGGCCGTTCTTACTCCGCCCCGATTCGTGAGGACATAGGGGTGTTGTTTGAGTATCGGAAGGGCAGCTTCCCCAACCCCCGCGTTCGAGTTGTGACCGATCGTGCGGTGCCGCTGTCCAGGCCTGGCCTTTCCGCCGGCCCACTCCTCCAGGACACTCCCGCGGTGGTCCGCACGAGGTTTTTGGGGATCGGAGGTGCCCCCTCCCATGAGCGTGGAGTGGCAGCACCTGTAGAACGAATTCGTCTGGAAGAACGGGCCGCCAAAGTCCGTTCCCAGGGTCGACGTCTACTGGATACAGTCAAGGCGCTGAAATAGGGAACAGTTTGGGTTCGGAAGGGGCTCGGTGTTCCTTAGGTTCCTCCAGTGCTGTTCCTCTTGCCCTCCTGGGGCACGGAGGCGCTTACAGGGCCAATGAGGGGCTTCGTTCTTTATTTAGCGTTCCTTCTCTCAGCAGCCCAGCTGTATGTGGCCCGGGCCCCCTCCGCGACTTCTGTTTTCCAGCCCTGCGTTTTGTTTCTTTCCAGCCCCGTGGAATTGAACAGCTGGTGCTGTGCGCTCTCCTCTCTTTTGTCGGGGCGTTCCATACCTCACCCGGGCACGCTCCTCCTCCTCCTCCTCCACCTCCTCCGCCTCCTCCTCCTCCTTCCTTCCCAAGGACGGGTTTCAAAGTGATCTCGCTTTCTCCCTTTTTCTTCCCTGTCCCCCATTTCCCCTGTCGCCATCGTCCTCGTGGTGTCCTCTCCCTGCCGCGTGCGCTGCAGTGTTGGCCGCGATGATTGCTCCCCCTCGGACGAACGAAGGAAGCCGCGCCCGGACGGCGCGTTGGCAGACGGGCTTCCATTGCGGATCGCGTGCGTGCCCGCACGCGGGAAGAACATGGGTGCACAGTGCGTCGAGGCACCGTCGTGGCAGCGTTTGTGTCCGACGAGGGGGGCCGTTGTCCTCTCCCGTGCCGGCCAGGACGCCTCGCAGTGCGCGCAACCTGTCCCTCGGGGCGCCCTGAGCCCGCGAGCGGCGGCGGCGGCGGCCCCCGTCCACCCCCCCCCCTCCTGGGCGCGCGTCCGCGTGAGGGGGGCGGCGGCCCATCTCCGGTCGGCGGCTCGTCGCGGGTAGCTCGGGGCTCTCGGAAGAGGACGGGCGCCGCCCAGCTCCGAGGGCAACGGGCCTCCGTGGAAAATGGTCCTGGGGCTTTGGCCGTCTTGGGCTCTCCACGGGTCCCAGGGCCGTCCGAGCACGGCGCGCGCCGAGAAGCTGGTGTCCAGGAGGCGTTCCCCTCAGCAAGGCAAGATTGTACAGATCCACCTCGTTCCTTCTCCCCCCCCCCCCCCCCAATGGCAGGAAAGAGGAGGAGGAGGAGGAGGAGGAGGAGGAGGAGGAGGAGGAGGAGGAGGAGGAGGAGGAGAAGGAGGAGGAGGAGGAGGAGGAGGAGGAGGAGGAAGAGGAGGACTGGGGGGTGGGCGCCGTTGAGCGGCTACGGCTTGCCCACTAAAAGGACGGGGTGGGGCGGAGGGGGGCTGGACCTGCTTCTCGAGGTTCGTCTCCTGGGAGCGCCGTGGGGATGGGCCGTGTCCGCGGCCCTGGGCTCGAGGCTCGGCGATCGTGGTCTGGGGCTCGATGATGGAGGGCTCGAGGCTTCGGGGATCGGGCTGCGCCCGATCCCCGAAGCCTGACATCCTGGATCCCCGATCCTCGGGGATCCAGGATTTCAGAGTTCGGGGCTTGTGGGCTCGAGGACTGCCGTGGGCGGGAGGCCTGGCCCGCAGCTCCGCGGCCTCGCGGCCTGGCCCCTCTCGGCCCGCGCGCCCCCCCCCCCTGGGCGCCCGGGGGCGGCGCTTGCGCTGGTGCCGCGCGCGGGGCGTTTGTCCATGTCGTCGCGTCGAGGCTTCGGGGATCGGGCTCGGGGATCCGGACCTCGAAGATCGCCGCGGGCGCGCGGGGCGCTTATATCCATGGAATCGCGCATCTGTGGTGCCGGGCCTCGCGATCGGAGGACACGGTCGTCGCTCCCGGTGCGGAGGATCGGGGGCCGTGGTGTGAGCTGCGAGGATCGAGCACTCGAGGCGCGGGGCTCGGGGGTCGCGGCGTGGGGTTCGAGGATCGGCGTTCGTGGATTGACGATTCGCGGATTCGACCATTCGGCGATCGATGTCAGGCCAAAGACAGGCGCGGCGCGGCGTGCCCCGCGGCGCGCGCGCGGCCGCCGCCGGCCGACGAGAAAGGTGCCCCGGGGGGCTCTGTACACCATCCTGGGCCCCGGCGTGGCCCAGGAGAGGCACGGTGTGGTGCACCCCTCGGTCGTTGAAGGTAGGTGTTTCTGGATTCCCAGATTCCCATCTGCTTTAAGCGCCTTCCCACTTCAGTGATCGAGTGGCTTCACCTTTCCCGGCCTCCCTAGTGGGCGGACGGGGCCCAATCTGCTTTCAACGCCTTCCTGCTTCATGTGTCTACCTACTTCTTCGGACCGATGGGTATGGGTGCCTTCTGCTGTAGGCGGAGGCGGCCAAGAGGGGGTGATGACTAGGGGGGGATATCATGGCGGGGGCCATGATATCTTCTTAGATTTCACGGCGCATTTTCTTATTTCAATGCGTGCCTTGGCCCCCGCTGGTCCGCGAACGTGCCTCGTAGGTCATGCGGTGCACCCCCCCTCTTGGACGCCCCCCCTCTTGGACGCCCCCGATGTAGAGGCGGCGCCTCATCCCGCACCTCCTCCTCGCCCTCCTGCCGCCGCTGCTGCGGCTGCTCCTCCTCGCCCGTCCGCGGGCGCGCGCGCGCGCGCGCGCGCCCGCGCGGTGCCCGTGGGCATGCCCAGAGGCACGGGCGCGGTGGCGAGCCGACGCAGTCCGGCCCGATGCTCCTCGCCCCTCCGTCGTTCTCCCTGCCCAGGCCCCCTCGCGCTGCGAAAAGAAATCCCGGCGGGAGGCTTGGCTCGCCATTGTCGGCCTCCGGGGGACCGTCCGGGGCCCGGGGGGCCGTCCCGAGCCGTTTTGCTTTGAGGGTCCCGAGGCCCGGGAAGGGTCCCCGGAGGCCGAAGGCAGCGAGAAGCCTCCCGCCGTGGTTTCTTTTCGCAGCGCGAGGGGGTCTGGGCAGGGAGAACGACGGAGGGGCGAGGAGCATCGGGCCGGACTGCGTCGGCTCGCCACCGTGCCCGTGCCTCTGGGCACGCCCACCGGCACCGCGCGGGCGCGCGCGCGCGCGCCCGCGGACGGGCGAGGAGGAGCAGCCGCAGCAGCGGCGGCAGGAGGGCGAGGAGAAGGTGCGGGATGAGGCGCCGCCTCTACATCGGGGCCACCTCACAGCGCGAGGGGGTCTGGGAAGTGAGAAGGCCTTCTCCCTCTCACTTCCCTAAAGTCGGGCGTGCCCCCCCCCCCCCCTGCACGAGGAGTAGTCCCCAAACTGGAAAGATGCGACGGGGAAGATTCTTTGAGCATTGTTTGAGCATGCTTGAACATCCTCTGACTTTTCTGCTGCATCCGAAAACCTTCCCAAATCCCACTGCATGGGGGGCCATGCCCGACCTGACACTTCCCCCCCGCGCTCGCCGCCGAGCCTGGCGGCCCCCGGACCTTCGCGCCCTCGGGCCGCCGCGCGGCGAGCGCGGGGCAGCGCCCGGGGCCCGCCACACCGCGCGGGGCGCGGCGTTTCCTCGCGCCGCCGCGGGCGGCCCACGTCGGCCCCCCCCCCCCCCTCCTCCTCGCTGCCTCCTCCTCCTCCTCTCCTCCTCCCTCCTCCTCCTCCTCCTCCCTCCTCCTCCTCCTCCTCTCCTCCTCCTCCTCCTCCTCCTCGCTGCCTCCTCCTCCTCGCTGCCTCCTCCTCGTCCCCACCGGCGCGGGGGGGGAGCGGGAGGGACCTCGAGGAGCATCGAGGGTCGGAGAGGCGCGAGGGGGGAGCGAGGACTCGGCGTCGGCGCTCTCTTCCAGTCCTTCTTGCGTGCTGTCCTGTTCTGCTGCACCTGTGCCCAGGGGGGCGCCCTCGATGCTTCCCTCCCCCACTCCCTGTTGGAGTTGTGGCCCATCACGTCGCTCCCGCACAGGCCTGGGGACCGATCTCTGAAGGGGGAGGAGGAGGAGGAGGAGGAGGAGGAGGAGGAGGAGGGAGGAGGAGGAGGAGGAGGAGGAAGATGAGGAATGAGGAGAGGAGGAGGAGGGAGGAGGAGGGGGTGGAGGAGGAGGGAGGAGGAGGAGGAGGGGAGGAGGAGGAGGAGGAGGAGGAGGAGGAGGAGAGGAGCTGGGAATGAGAAGGAGGAAGAGGAGGAGGAGGAGGAGGAGGAGGAGGAGGAGAGGAGGAGGAGGAGGAGGAGGAGGAGGAGGAGGAGGAGGAGGAGGAGGTAGGGGAATGGGTGGAACAGGACCAAGGATACTCTTTTCCCTGCGGTGGGGAGGGGCAGGCTTCAGCCGATGTCTCGTGCAGACATGGCATTATTGATCCGTAAGGGCTTCGCCCCATGCCGCCGGCCCCCCGTCTCGGATAATGGGAGATGCAAAGGCTAAATCATGAGGTCTGGGCGCCGCCGTGAAGCAGTGTCGGGACCTGTTTGTTTTTCGACCCTGACCCTACGGATCTGCGTGAGGGTGCCAACGAATTTCAGAAATGAAGCAAATCCCATGTGTTTTTGGACCCTGACCCTACGGATCTGCGTGAGGGGTCCCGCCGAAGTTCAGACATGTGGCAAATCCCTTGTGTTTTTGAACCCTGACCCTGCCGATCTGCGTGAGGGGGTGCCGTCGAATTTCAGACATGTGGCAAATCCCTTGTGTTTTTGGACCCTGACCCTGCCGATCTGCGTGAGGGGTGCCGCCGAATTTCAGAAATGTGGCAAATCCCCTATGTTTTTAGACCCTGACCCTGCCGATCTGCGTGAGGGGTGCAACCGAATGTCAGAAATGTAGCACATCTCATTTGTTTTAACACCCTGACCCTGCCGATTTGCGTGAGGGGTGCCACCGAATGTCAGAAATGTGGCAAATCGCATTTGTTTTCACACCCTGACCCCGCCGATCTGCGTGAGGGGTGCCACCGGATGTCAGAAACGTGGCAAATCCCTTGTGTTTTTGAACCCTGACCCCGCCGATTTGCGTGAGGGGTGTCAGCAAATTTTTGAAGTGTGGCAAATCCCATGTGTTTTAACACCCTGACCCTGCCGATCTGCGTGAGGGGTGCCAGCAAATTTTTGAAGTGTGGCAAATCCCTTGTGTTTTTGGACCCTGACCCCGCCGATCTGCGTGAGGGGTGCTAGCAAATTTTTGAAGTGTGGCAAATCCCTTGTGTTTTTGAACCCTGACTCCGCCGATCTGCATGAGGGCTGCAACCGAATTTCAGACATGTGGCAAATCCCTTGTGTTTTTGGACCCTGACCCCGCCGATTTGCGTGAGGGGTGTTAATTTTTACATACCCCAGCAATTCAGAGCACAAGCTTAGGGCGTTGTAAAAACGCCTGTTTTGGGCCTTCCCCCCTCGCGCGGTCCATCAACAAGGAAAGTAAGCAGCAAGAAGCAGAACTGCAACAAGGAACAGTTAGCACAAAGAAGCAGAACTGTAACAGTGGAAACTGGAAGCTGCAACTGGCACAGGAAACTGCGAACCTTCGCCCTACAGCCTGTTGGCCCCACAAGGGAGCCGGCGGATTTGGGTTGGGGGTCGGGGGTCAGACCTTAGGAGGCTTGTGGATGCCCCCCCCTCCCCCCTCTTCTCCACTCCACCTCAACTTCCGCGCCTCATTGTTCATCCCACTCCCCTCCTCTCTCCTCTCCTGCCACCATCTCCTTCCCCTCCTCTTCCCGCCCCCTTCGCATCGTGAAGGGGTCCATTCTTTGCCGTTCCGCTCCTCTCCCCTCCCTCCCCCCTTCCCCCTTCCTTTCCCTCCCCCTCTCGCGCAAGCGTCTGCGCCGCTGGAGTCTCCACACCCGTCGAGCAACGGGAGGCAGCTCGGCAGGGAGGCTCGGCCCGAAGAGGGCTGGGGCCATCGTCGACCGTCGTTCGCTGGTGTGCCCCGGTGGACTGGAGTCGCTGGCCGCGGATGTCACGCAAATCCTCCCCCTCCCGCTGCCCTCTCTTCTGGCAGCTGGGAGTGGGACAGCGATAGAGATCCACCTCGTTCCCCGCCCCCTCCGAGGATGAAGGTAAACAGTCAGAAGAGGGGGGGGGGGGAAGGAGGAGGAAGGAGGTGAATCTGTAGAAAGGATCGCGTCCTGGCATCGCCGCTCGGCCCGAGGGGCGCTCGAGAGGATGAGCGTTGCCCCCCTCGCCGTCGTGCTCGGCTGTCGCCGCGGGCTGCGCGCCGGAGGACCGCGCCTTTTGACAAGTCTGCTGGTTTTGTTTGCTCTGGTGATTTTCTCATCAGGTTGGCTGGAGATTTACCAGCCTGGAACATATCCCTATCCTTATGCTGGGCATCTCCTCATCACGATGCCAATCTTAGGGATTCCCTTATTTTTTGAGGGCGCATCCCTAAGATTGTCATCGTCGTGTCAATCTTAGGGATAGGGATAAGTTCGAGGCTGGTAAGAGATTGGAGGATTTGGAACTCGGGGGCCTGGATCTTCTGAAATCTGGACCCTTCTCCTCAGCCCCCGCTGACCCACAGGGTGGCCTAGTCCACTGTGCTGGGCAGAGGTAGAGGAGCATGATGGCGATGGCGATGGCGATGTCAGTGATGATGCTGCTGATGATGATGATGCTGATGGTGGTGGTGATGCAGATGGTGATAACGACGTTGATGGTGATGGTGATGGTGATCCTGATGATGATGGTGATGATGATGGGGATGAGGAGGATGATGAGGACGAGGATGAGGATGAGCATGATGATGAGGATGACGACGATGATTATGATGGCGACGACGCGACGACGAGGAATATTATGATGATGACGGTGATAACGATGATGAACATGACGATGGTGATGATGCTGTTGATGATGATGATGATGGTGATGACGACGATGATCATGCTGCTGCTGCTGGGGAACAGAAGGAGGAGGCGGAGGATGATGGTGGTGGTGGTTGTCGTGGTGTCGGTAGGGGTGATGATGATGCTGATGATGATGCTGCTGTTGATGATGATGATGATGATGATGATGATGATGATGATGATGATGATGATGATGATGATGATGATGATGATGATGACTGTGATGACTGATGATGATGACGAGGTGAAGGAGAATGAGGATATGAGAGGGAGGAGTTAGGAGAAGGAGGTGGCGAACAGAGTCAGCGGTTCGTGCGGCGTTCTATCTGCCCTCTGGCGATGACGACAGCGACGACTCGACGACGAGGAGGAGGATGATGAGAATGATCAGAATGATGATGGGGGTGATGATGATGACGATCATGATGAGGAGGATGAGGAGCAGGCGGAAGGGGAGGACGAGAAGGATGATGGTGGTGGTGGGGATGATGATGATGATGATGATGATGATGATGATGATGATGATGATGATGATGATGATGTTGTTGATGATGATGGTGATGATGATAGACTATAGTGATGACGAGGAAAAGGAGCAGGAGGGTAGGAAAGGGAGGAGGCAGGAGAAGGAGGTGGCGAACGGAACCAGCGCTTCGTCTGGCGCCTGCCCGCTGGCGGATCCAGGCGCCCGCGGCGCGAGGGGTGACTGCCACGAAGGGCTGGCTGGGCGGAAAGGCTCATCATTGGGGTCGGGAGGAACGCCTCCTTAGCGGCTCGCGCCGCCGGCTCTGGCCCACCGCACTTTGGCGCGAAACGCTACGCGCCCGTCCCAGTCCTCAAGCAGGGCTGGACCCAAACGGTGTTTTCGGCGATTTCGCGGGCCGTTTTCGCTTCGACTTCGTTTTGCGGTACAGGCGGATTGGAGACAAAAGCGAGGGAAAACGAAAACAAAAAACGAACATGAAAATACCGCTTAGGTTCAGCCCTGTCCTCGAGCACAGACGTCCCTGGCTTTTCCCAGCCCCCCGCCCCGCGAAGCGCAGCGGCACGCCCTCGGCTCGCGAGGCAGCGCGTGTCGCGGGGGCCGGCGCCGCGGCGTGCCGAGCACGAGGGCCGCTCACCGTCGCCTCGCAGTCGCTCGCGCTGCCCGCGTGGCGGCCCACCCCCTCGGCCTGCCAGGTGCTCCTCGCGGGGAGCTCCTCCTGCGACAGAGGGCCACCGGGCACCGCAGGGCACCCGCCTTCGCGGACGTTGGTTCCGCGCGTGATGACCACGGGCAGCAGACAGGCTCAGGACCCGGAGCGGCATCACTGGAACAGTGGCGGGCCAGCTGGATTTGGTGTTCATTTGACGGCGATTGGCGAGACGTCGCAGTCCCGCAAAGAGAACATCTTGGTGTGTGTGTGTGTGTGTTTGGATTGTCTGCCCTGCCTGCTCTTTTTGCTTCTCGGCGTGTGTGCGCTCGCGCGCGTCGCCCTCTCTTGCCTGCCTGTCGGGTCCCCTCCGCGGTGCTTTTGCGGCTCGCCGTTGGCCCTCTTGTCCTGACCCTCTTCATCCTCGGCTTGGCGTTCTCGCTTCTGCTGCTTTTGATGCTCCTTTTCCTGCACGCGCCTGGCCTTGGTTGCCCAACGGTCGGCTGTGCCCCTCTCTGACTGCGGCTCAGAGCTGTGCTCACGCTCCCATGCGAGGTGGTCAATGTACCCTCAGCCTGCCCCGCCTGTGTAATTTCTTGTCCGACGATTGCACACCATCAGCTCGGTGGATTTGTGAGCGTGCGACTGAAAAGCGCGCCGGTGAGACCTGCACGAACCTTCGGCGATGTCTTCCTCGAGTAGCCAGAGTGGCGGCACAACCGCAGGGCTGCGCGGACCTCTCTCCTCCGAAACGTGGACCCCCAGCCGTCTAGACCCCTTCCCTGTAGGACTGTTTTCTAGCCCCGGGTCGGTCCCGGAGCCAACTTTTGAGGGCCCCTTCGGGAGCCTTGAAACGGGGGTCAATGCAAACGGGGGTCGGCCAGAGCGCCGGATCTTGCAGGATCCTGCAGGGACAGGGTCACATTGACCCGGGTTTGGGTGCAGGATCTTGCAGGATCGTGCAGGATCGTTCGCATTGACCCGGGTTTAGGTGCAGGTTCTTGCAGGATTTGCAGGATTCTGCAAGGCCTGACTGACCCGGGTCTGGATTGACCCTGGTCAGAAGATCCCCGACCCCTGGAGACCGAGAACGGTCCACGAGTTGTGTCGTGATCTCGTTCGCGTGTTCTCGGTGAGCCTTCGCGCGCCCTGGCGCAGATGACGGCTGCAGCGCCCTCCCTGGCCGCCCCTGGGCTGCCTGCCGGGGCCCCGGCAGGCTGCTGCTGGAGGCGCGGGCCGCGAGGGAGGGGCAGCGTCGGGGGCAGCGTCAGGGGTGTCGCAGGCCTAGAGGTTGACACCACCACCAAGATCGGTGGTGTGCCTTTACCGAGGGAAGGCGATCCCGACCTCGGTGATGGTGGTAATATTCTGGCTTCCAAGGTGACCGAAACATTGCCACCAACACCGAGGAGGTGGCCAGTTTGGAGGTGGCCAATGTGGAGGTGGCCGCGTGGAGGTGGCCAATTGGAGGAGGAGGAGGAGGAGGGGGAGGAGGAGGAGGAGGAGGAGGAGGGGGAGGAGGAGGAGGAGGAGGAGGAGGAGGAGGAGGAGGGGCCAATTTCCAAGCCTCCAGGGGTGATGGTCTCTAAGGGGGCCGCCTCGCACCCCCATCGGCCAGTCGTCGCCAACAGGGGCCCGCTATAGAGAGCCCCGCCCCGCCCAGGAGCGTGCGGTTCCGCTATCGTGGGGCCAATCGCCGATGTCTCGGCACAATATATATATATATATACACCTATGCATCCATAATGGATATATATATATATATACGTATATATATATATATATATATATATATATACATACATACATGCAGTTCTCAACTCTAAGATCTTTTGGCAAAAGGAACATATACACACATATTCCCATTTCTGCATGTTCGGCAAATTGAGTGTGTATATGTATACAGACACATACACATATTTCAATTCCCATATTTTCGGCACCATGAACATCCACATACAGATTCTCGATCCTATATTTATATTGCCCAGACCCCCTCTTCACCTGCCCCCGTAAACCGGTGCCCCACCCCCAGGGACGCCCCGGACGCCCTCTCGCGAGGACGTCTCGGCGGCCCGCGGGACGCCCTTGGAGAAGGTCTGCTGGCCCTTCAGGGCCTCCCAGGGCGCCTTGCCGGGCCTTGCGAGCAGACTCAAGGCGATCAGAGGGGTCATGGGGGAGGCGCAAGAGAGACCCAAGACAGTACAAGAGCGCTCCAAGAGTAACCTCGATGGTCTGAAAACGGCCCAAGAAGCCCCGAAGACGCTCCAAGAGGCGTTAAGAGAGCCCCGAAGAAGGAACAATCGTCCTATCGTCCCAAACGGCCCAAGAGGCCCCTCAGAGGGTTTGAAGACGGCCCCAGAGGGCCCCAAGACTGCCCCAGAGAGCCCCGAGACTGCCCACATGAAGCCCAAGATGCCCCCAGAAGGCTCCCAAGAGAGACCCACGAAAGCCATGGGAGACCCTCAAGAAGGCCTTCGGAGGCCCCCAAGAGTGCCGTAGATGGCTTCAGAAGACCTCTGGAGGGCCCCGGCTTCCCAAGACGGTTCAAGAAGGCCCCGGGACGGCCCAAGATGGCCCCAGGACGGCCCAAAAGAGCATCCAAAACACCCAGACGGCGTCTTCATACGAAATACATCGAGCTGACCCGACGATCCTGGTTCCACGTTGAGGCTCGAGGTGTTAATTCGTCGATCGATAGAGACAGGCAATGGATCTGGATTCGAAGTTCGACGATCGAAGATTTCCTGACTGCCTGGGACCCTCCGGGCATTCAGGAAGCGACCGAAAATCGATATGATCGGAGCTACTGCGACTTTTTCGGCGTGTCATGGGAACGCTCCTTACCTCCTCAAAGGACCTTCTCGCGCGAAACAATCATCATTCCCTGCCAACCCCTGCGCACAAGCGTGCAAGCGCAACGGGCGAACGCGATGTCAGCAGGCACCAGGGATATCAGAACAATGAGCGGGTCGCCCGTCCAGGCCTCGAGGTCCCCCCTACTGAAGCAAGCGATTGTTTATTGCGTTGCCAGGGACGCGTCCGGAACAAGCGCATGGCGCGAAACGCCAATCCAGTTTTCTAGATGTGTATACAGATGTAATATTATATGCAAAACTGGATTGGCGCTTCGCGCCACGCAACTTGGTCCTTGAAATTTGGCATGCAGGCGGAATGGCAGGAAGGCCGACACTTGAGCGATAACTCATTTTTTTCCGACATTGCCGTTCAAATCATGTTATTCGTTGTTACTCCTCCGTGTTTTGTTTTCTTCATTACCGCCACATTCTGCGTAATCTCTCCATCCCCTCGGCTCTTTTTGTGGTTTGTGTTGCTTTCTTGATTAAGCTCTTTGGAGGCCTCCTGGGCGTCTTCTGGGGGCCTCTGGGGGCTTCCTCGGGCCACCCTACCTCCAACCGCGGTATCCCTGAACGACCGGGTCACGATATGGAATGTTTCGGAGGGTGTTTTGGGGCCATCTTGGGCCGTCATGGGAATCTTTTAGGCCATTTTGGAACCTTGTTGTGCCTTTTGGGGCTCTCCCGGATTGCTTGGAAGCTCTTTCGGGTGGTTGTGGGGCGGCTTTCGAGCCTCCCAGGCGGCACCGGACGCCCAGAAAACCGCCGTCTTGGAGCGACAGGAAACCCGAAAGAGGAAAACCCCAACATTTTCCCACAACCAGCTAAAAGTCACAGAATTTTGCCTCTTTGGGCCTTCCTTGGGAATGCTCTTGGAGGCCTCTTGGGACGTTTTGGAGCGATCTTTGGCGGTATGACTGTTTCTTTGGGGTCGTCGTGGGCCGTTTTGGGGCTTTCTGGGGTCGTGTCGGGAGCGCGCCGGAAAGCCTGGAGCCCTTTGGGGCCGTCTTCGGGCTTTCGTGGGTTTGTCGCGGGTCGTCTGGAAAGTGCCCGAGATGTTCGGGGTGGGCCAAACATATGATGAATAATAAATAAGTATATTTGTGTATATGTATATGCAATTATATACATGTGTATGTATGTATGTTTGTGTGTATGTATGTATGTATGTATGCAAGTATGCATGTATACATGTCTCTATACATGATTATTTGTGTACACATATATAGGTACATATTTGTGTGCTTGTATGTGTATGTGTGTGTGCATCGCCGGTTCTAGTACTACGCCGATGTATTCGCGATATTTGCATATTTGGATTCATGTATATATGTATATATATATATATGTACACACTTGTATCGCTGATTCCAAATCAATGTTTCCCTTCTGGGCTGGCCCTCCACGGCCCCCCCCTGTCGGTGCTCTTCAAGGGAGGTTGCGGGAGGTGCTGCCGCAAGACCTTGACATCCGACGACGACTACGACGACGGCGCTTTGCGCAGGCCTTCCGAGGCCACCACGAAGACCCAAAGGCACAACAGCTTCGACCCTCGGGCCTCAAAACATCGATCGACGACGACTGACACATCGAGCGGCTGGATGTTTTTCGAGACGTCCGAAGAAGAACAAACGCCATAAACATATTTGTTTTGGCGCTCCGCGCGGATGTGTTGGATCCACGCTGTGGCCCCCCGGCGTTGCCTCCAGCGCAGTTGCAAGAAATCTGGGCGGAGCGCGAACAGTTTTTGTTTATGGCGTTTCTCCGTCTTCTTCTTCTTCTTCTTCTTCTTCCTCTTCCAAACATAGGCCTCTGGACCTCTTGACCCCTTCCCTGGATGTTTGTGTGATTGACTCGGGGGCCCGAAATATCGGCCTCCTTCCCCCACGGGTCGAAGCTTGGTCGGACCTTTTCCTCTTCGGTTTTCCCTAAACGGCCTGTCTGTCAGGGTTCAAGAGGGAAAAAAAACACAGACACAATTAATCGTCGATCCCCGAGAAAATATGTTTGAAAATATGGGAAGTGGGGGGAAGACAAAAACCTAGAAAATATTTGGAAATATTGAGAATCCTGTTATTTGTGTGTATTTATTTGTGTGTCCTGGGGCCCCTTCAAGGGTCCAGCACAATTTTTTCGACGAGGCCGAGGGCGGTGGGGGTCCATGCCAAGAAGCACCCCGCCCGCCTCCTGGGTGTCCTGGGTTTCCTGGGTTCCGAGGGCTCTCCTGTGGAAAGCGTACAGGGCAGTTTTTAACACATGGGATTTTTACACATGTAGGATGTTTAATGCATGATCAATGTATGAATACATTTATGCATGCACTCATCGTTGTTCTTGATACTAAGTCCCTGCATCTTTTTATACATGATCCGCACGCGGAGCATGTACTAAAACCGGCGCTGTACAGTCAACCACAATGGCATGGACGGGGCAGCTTTCCAAGGCTGCCCCTGCATCCCTGCCCCTGCGGTGTTCGGCAGCCTTCGGCATCCTGCTGCGCCCCGCACGGGGAGCGTCAGCATGGCGTTCCAAGGCCCTTGCATCCCTACCGCGCATCCCCTGCCACCCTGGTCGAGCGTGACGCTCCCACACCAGCAAAAAACACGGGGCTTCTCGTGGAAGGCGTCTTGTGGACCTGGCCTCCACCGCAGGGGGGGGGCCGTGATCCGGAAGCGGTGGGTGGGGCCAGGTCGGGCCTGCCCCCCATACAGGGCGATTTTGGGCGGAAGACGCAAAATACGTGAAAACTTATATGCCCAAAGTGCTCCAAACTGGTCAGAGAAGTGCCCCCAGACTATTTTTGAAACTATCTTTGAACCTTCCCCCTGTATAGGGACAGGCCCGACTTGAGGCAGGGGCGCCGCTGCCCCTCGGCCGCTCCTCCTCGGAAGGTCGCCCCCCCCCCCCTCCCCCCCCCCTTCGGAGCGAGCGCCCCCCCCCCCGCGTGCGCGCCGCGCCCCCGGGCCCCCGCAGCGAGGCGGCGCGCGGCGCGCCCCGCGGGGCCCTCGGGGCGGGGGCGCTCGCCGCCGCCGCGGCGCTGGCGGGCCTGCGGGCGCGCCGCGCGCCGCGGCGGCGGGGCCACCGGCGAGGCGCGGTCCGGGAGGAGAGGCGGCAGCAACGTCGGGGGCAGCGGTAGGGTGAAGTCGGGCCTGTCCCCCTGCCGGGGGATTTTCGACGACAGATGAAACATACCCCCAAAATCAAACAGATTCCAAGAAGAATGGTCCAAACATTGTTTGGGGATTATTTTTTTTGTATGTTTTTGCCTCTTTGGGGTATGTTTGGGGGTGTTTTTTTTTGTTGTCGAAGATCCCCCTGGAGGGGGACACGCCCGACGTAACGACAGGGGAGGGACTGGCACGGGGGGGGGGGGGAGGCATCGGCCCCCGATCGCCCACCGATCGCCGACAGGGGGCCCGAGAGCCCCCCAGCCTCCCCGGCCTGCAGGAGGAGGCTTGCGGCTTCCCGCGCGGGGGCCCATCGCTCGGCATCGCTCGGACGTGTGCATTTTTCCTTCGGCTTCGGCGAGGACCATCGAGGAGCATCCTGGATCATCTGGCGAAAAAAGCACGCACGAAGCCAGCAAAAACACAGGACATGGACGTCCGAACGATGGCCAGATCGCCGATCCATCGGCGATGTGTCGCCGACTCCAGGTCGAGGCACTAGCCTCTGTGCCAGTCCCCCCGTACCGTTGCACCTCAGGGGAGCTGCATCAGCATACGCTCTCGGAGCTCCGCGCGGATCTCTTGCGTCGTCGCCTGGGTCCCCCGGGCGGCGCCTCCGGCGCCGCCCCTGGAGCGTGGCGCGCGCCAGGGGCGGGGATCCAGCGCCGACCCAAGAAGTCCGCGCGGACCTCCGAAAGTTTACCGTTATGTTGCGCCTTCTTCCAGGCCTTGGCATCGCTCGGACGTGTGCATTTCTTCTCGGCGAGAACCATCGAGGACCATCCTGGACCGTCGAGCAAAAAAAAAAAACACGCGCGCGAAACCGACAACTGCACGGGACATGGACGTCCGAGCGACGGCAAGAGGCGGCGTCGACGGCGGCGGCGGCGGTGTGGACCCAGAGGAGGGCGAGCTGAGGTCACAGTGGTTGGCCTCGAGGGGGGGGGCCCTCGTCGCCACGGCTGGACGCCGCTCGGGAAGCTGGTGCGGCTGGACTGCAGCACGTCGCGACGGGAGGCTCGTGGCCTCGTGCGGCCTCGGGAGGCCCCTGCTGGGCCGCGGGGCCGTCACACAACGGCTGCCAGGAGGGAAACAAAAACACACAGACACAATTGATCGTCGAATTCCCCAGAAAACATGGGAAAATATGGGAAGTGGGGGGGAAGACAAAACCTCGAAAATACGGGAACCTATGGGGAATCCTGTTGTTTGTGTGTATTTATTTGTGTGTCCCAGGGCCCCTTGAGACTAGCATGAGAAGCCGGTCCCGGGGAGCTTGTCGAGAACTCCGGACTCCGGGTGTCCACCGACAAGATCTCGCAGTCGGAGGTTTGGGTCGGGCTTTGCGCGCGGAAATGGGCAGCGTCGCAGTTCTGCACGACGTGTCCGCTTCGATGTTTCGACGTCGATTCCGGCCTGCCAGATCCGTGTCGATTCTGGCATACCGGCGATCCGATGCTGCCCGATGCTTGTATGGCTTTGCTGTGCATCCTGGCGCAGCCGATCCGATTCGATTCCAGCCTCTTGCCGCTGCTGCACGTTCTGAGTCGGCACCTTCGCCGCGGGGGCATCATTTCCCGGTGCGGGCCCCACCGGGGTCCCCTGACCCCCTCGCGCGAGGAGGGACATCACGCGACGGGGGATTTTCGCTCGGCGGCCTCCGGGAGTCCTCAACCGGGCCCCTGGGCTGTCTAAGAAGTGCTCGCGATAAGAAACTGGTCCCGGGGAGCCTCTCCATCGTCGGAGCCTTCCCAACCAATGCTGCCGTGGTTTTCGAAAAGCAGCGCCCATCTCCAGTGCGTGTGGAAGCGGGCCCAAGCCCCCGGCCCCAATGTCAGAGGTCGGGGCGCGCGACGCGGGGCGGAGGAGCGCGGGTCGTTTCGAGCAAATGCGCGCGCATTTGCAAACCGCGGCCTGCTCGATGGGACGAATCCTGGAATTTGGAGCGCGGGGGACGCGCTTGCGCCATCGTTTAGTCGTTGTGGCTGCATGGGCGTTTTTGTCGAGAACGCCAGTGGGACAGGGTAGGTTGGCTTTGAGCATATTCTATTTTTATCTTAGATTTGGGCAAGTCTACTTGCATGGCGTTCGCCCACCCCCCACCCTCCCCTCGCCCCTCTTCAGACGAATATCTGGTGTGCAAGTGCCTTTCGACTTGGGTGGTTTCCGCACGGTCAAGTCGCTTGCGGCTTACTTCAGGTTCAAGCCCCCCCCCGTCCATGCAAGTAACCCTGCCAGAATCTACAAAAAAAGCAGAGGCTCTTTCCCAGCGCACCTCCTCCAGGTGACGATGTGGGTGCTGCGAAAGACCCGGAGGGGACGGCCCCCATGCCCACACGCTGATCTGGGGGCAGGTCGGCCAGCGGGGACGAGGTTCCTTTGTGGGGCCGCGGGGATGATATCGCTTTTGTCCAGAGCTGACTTCAGAGAAGGACAATGTACCCATCGGTCGTTGAAAGTAGGTATTGTTGGCATCCCAGATTCCAACATATTTTAGGCGTCTTCCTACTTCAAGGATCGATTGGCTTCGTCTCTTCCGTCCTCTTTAGGGGGCGGGCGGACACCCAATCTGCTTTCAACGCCTTCCTACTTCATGTGTCTACCTACTTCTTCCGACCGATGGTTACCCGTACCTCTACCCTTCGCCCGTTTTCCCTTTTCTGGCCTCATGAGAGGCCCTCGTCGCCACTGCTGAGTTCGCCTCGGGATTCTGGGCAGCGGTAGCAGCGGTATCGGTACCTCTTGATTTCCCCATGAGTGCGGTGCGATGGCAGCTGCTGGCGCGCTTGGGTATGCCACCCCTCCCGCCCACGATCACTCTTGTTCGGTAGCAAATCGTGGGAGCCTGGTATACCTTAATTCCGTCTTTAGCGTCGACGTGCGTCGATTAGCGTGTGGGAATCGCTGAGATAGCGCCGAGTTAGCGTTGGCTAGCGTCGATTAGCGTCGATTTTGCGCCGATTAGCGTCGATTTAGCGTCGATTAGCGTCGATTCGCAAGAGCCGACACGATTGTATGGGAGGCTCCCATGAGTTGCCACCGAACTCTTGCCTAGGGTCACGACGGCCCTTGCGTGTACCCGACGGTCCTCGAGGTTCGTGCGGCGACGTCGCCGTCGTCGTTGGCGGCGATCGAGGTCCCGGCGTCTTCGGAGTTCTGTGGAGGTGCTCGCTGGTTTCTGCGCCCCTGGGTGCTCCCCGTCAGCTGCTCGGCAGCACTCCCGACCTGGCAGGGCTCGTCACGGCTCGTCCCGATCGGCCGCGGGAGGTCCGAGTCCATGGCCCGAGGGTCTAACTGCTTCGAACTTCGAGGATCGAGGAGCCGACTTCACGTTTGATGACATGCAGTCATTTTCGCCCCTTGGCCCCTCCGAGTCCCTCACTCTGACCTGGCACTCTGCTCCTGTCACATCTCCCCCCTCTCCCTCCTCTCCCTGCGAGGCCTCTTCTGGGCGAGTTCAGCATCCTGGTAACTGCGGCTTCCGTCGCCTCAGATGGTTGGGGCAGCCTCTCGCTGGGACGCTGTGCAGCAGTCTGAAGCCACTGGGGGGAACCGGAGGTCCCCAAATAGGCATGGTGTGCGCGCTGCCAGGGTAGCATCACGTGGTTGTGGCGGGGGCGTTTTTGGGACTTGGGTGGTTCTACGAGGATGTCTCGATCGACAAGGGGGGGGCCCTCGCCCCAAGACATTGGTGACAGATCCACCTGGTGTCGTGTTCGAGTTTTTCCAGGTGAGCGGGCCATCTGCAACCGCACGGAACTGGGAATTCCGAGGCAGTGTCGGCTTGTCTTCCTTCCTCGGAAGGGGAAGGACAAGCCAAGCCGATGACGACAATCACGACTTCGACGAGGACGACTCCGATTCAGAGGACTTAGACGATTCGGACGATTCAGGCGACGACGTTCACAACGACCACGACGACGGCGACGACCACGACGGCGACGGCGACGACCACGACGACGACGACGGCGGCGACGACGACGACGACGACGACGACGACGACGACAGCGACTCCGACAGCGACTCCGACAGCGACGACGGCGACTCCGACGTCTCCGATGGACGACGGCGTCGGCGTGGACGGTGACGACGGCGACCACGACGGCGCCCACGACGTCGCCGACGGCGACGACCTCGCAGAACTGCCGCCGCCGCCGCCCCTACAGGCCGCGGCCGGGCCGTGGCCTGCGCGGGCGGCGGTGGCGGCGGCCGTCAGGCGCCCCTCCAGGGTGGGCGCGCGGGCTGGCGCTGCGGCCGCTGCCGCCGCTGCTGCTGCCGCTGGCCGCGCCGCTGCTGCCGGGCGTACGCCGACGGCGACGACGACGGCGGACGGACTCCGACTCCGGCTTGGACTCCGACTCCGACCCGGAGTCTGACAGCTCCCACTCCGAGTGCTCCGACG